GAGGGTATTCAAAGTTCGGCCCGACGAACTTACAGCTTTTTTACTTGTTTTATTTGTATGGTGTACCATGACTTTTGCTGCTCACTGTATATCCTTTTATGTTTTCATACCACATTTACCGCCAGTTGTTTAATTTTTTCCGCACGTCTCAGCATCAAAGATTAGATTATCCATTATTGATCATCCAATCCATTATTAATCATTCAACTTATAGTAGAGAGAGAGGGCATACGTAGTAGAATATCTTTATTCATCAATGATACAATAATAGAAACAGGTCGACAAGTGTAGTGTCGACAAGTGCACTGAAGAGTACAGATTAAACATTTTAATGCATAGCAACTAAATGTGTAAAGTGATGAACAAAATATTGAGCACGACTGTCACATACATAGTGGTTACGATATTTATCATTTGCTCATCAATTATTCCTGGAGCTAATAATAATAATAAAAATGGAATACATAGCTCATATTCTTCTACTACCTGAGTTAGTCAAAATTTTTCGTATGCTTATTTTTTAAGTATTTTCCTAGAAGATAATCAATATTGAAGGGATATTTTATCATCGTCAAGTATGGTTTTTATTAGGGTTGAGTTATGGGCGGTCTCTATTTTTAATCGTTGCGGTGTAATTGGTCGCTGGTATTAAATGCCGTCTTATTTTGATTGGTATTTCTATGTTTTGTTCCATCAATACAATTTCATTCGACTAACGAGTGCACATAATTCTTGTCTGGCTTCATTCGGAAACGTGTTTATTTTCATAGTTCAACATTTTATTTGTAGTTGAATTTGTGGCGTTGCTCAGGTGAAGGTATTATTAAAGAATATTATTAACAATTATCAAAGAATTCTTTGAAATCTTACAAACTGCTGGGTCATAATTTAAAACCAGTAAGGAAAAGTCAAAGGTCGGGCGGAGCCGACTATATGATACCCTACAGCACTATGCATATTTAGTAGAGCTCCCATAACAAAATAATTTATTTTAAGTAGATCATAAAACCTATCAAAATTTGGCCTTAAAGCAGTTATAGTTTGCCTATAGAGTGCATGACATCACTTCGAGAAAGATTATATTAAACAAGTAAAAAAGCTGAAAGTTCGGCCGGGCCAAACTTTGAATATCCTCCACAAGAGGGCTCTCTGTATCTCCAAATTTAGAGTCATCTATATGATTTGCTTGTCTGCTATATTGGCTATATTCGTCAACGAAATCAGCATAAGAAAGACAGAAGTTCACCTTTTGTGTATTTTGGCGTATCTGTAGAAAGTTAGTTTTTTTTCGCACAAAAGTAGTGGTCCATTCTACCTCTATTTCGTGTCCTTTGATTTCTATTTGTGACCTTTATAACGGCTGCAAAATCAAAAACAAGCCCTTCTGAGTCTAACCCTACCCTTATGAAATTTTCATGAGGATCGGACAATAATTGCAATCTGTATATAATAACCCCAACCTGTGTTGGAAGGTGAAAAAATATTACAAAATAAATATACACTTCAATATTCTAAGTCAAATTGAAAAAATCGCATGCGATAAAAAAATATCACAGAATACTACAAAATCTAAATTTACATCATTATCGACATCTCTTTATGCCTTTTTTTTAGATTTTACTATTTTATGCCAAGAGGGCATTCTGAATTGACCAAAATTTGTCAAAATCGGTCTAGCCATTCTTGAGATATTAGCATTCTAGCTAACACCCCCTTCCTTTGTATATATACATTGTATATATTTCGATTTATATATCCGATAAATTTATTATCGGCATCTACGTAACAGTCAGGATTGACCTGTTCGTCTATTTGCACTTTCGCTGGGATTTAAATATTCACGGTTTAATGGAAAATTTGACTTTTATTTAACACAAATGTTATGGTCTATTATTCCCAATAAATGCTACCCGATGATCATTAAAATTGGTAGGCTTCTGCCCAGCCCTAAGCTCTAGCCCCATGCTAACTTCCGCTTCGATTGGTCTATAATTGCGACCTATAGAGCAACTACAAAATCAGGAAATTTTTCAGTTTTTGGTCCGTTTTAACCCCTAATAATCTGCGATCATCTCCGAAAGCAATAGGCTTCTATTCTGACCATAACCCCACCTCCGTATTGAATTTCGTGAGGATCGAGTCATAATTGCGACTTGTAGCGTAATTACAAATTAACATGGACAGACGGACGGACGGACATACATAGCTAGATCGACTCAGCTCGGCGAGATAGGAAGATCCATATATACTTTCCTATGTGGGAGACCAATATTTCGAGGTTTTACATAATTGTTGGCCCAATCAAACTTATAATACCCACAACACAAAGTGTTGTAGGGTATAAATAAATATCGGAGCCGAGTTGCATCAAACGGAAACGTACGCCCTGAAATTCAATCCATTTAATCTGATATTAGCCTTTATTGGAACAATAAACCTGAAATCGGATTAAATCTCTATAAAATTTGGCAATGGTATTTCCGGGCTTTATAAGATATCTGGTACCAAATATCATTGTTGTCGAAGGCATATTACGAATGTGAGGGTTTTAATACATCAAATTTGAAGAAACATGAAAATAAACCTGATATCGGATAAAGATACATATGGGAGCTATATCCTAATCTGAACCGATCTTGATAAAATTTGACAGAGGTATTTCTGGGTTGTATCTGATGCACGGTACCAAATATCATCCTTGTGGAGTTTATATTACGCATATGAGGGACTTTAAATCCCAGGCAGATCATTTGGACTGCTATTGGCCACTTGGTGATACTGGCCGAAATCGGTTGAAGATAAATATTGTTTTGAAAATTTCATCCCAATCGGATAATAAATGCGACCTGCATTTGACCCAGAAAGTGATTCTATGAAGATCCTCAAAAGTAACTATGGGTCTATCTCACTTCCTTCTGGATGTTACAATGTACCACTATGTGGTGCAGGGTATAAAAACATAGGAGGTCAATAACCCCTCATCGTTACGACTATTGTGTATGCTAAAAATAGTTCGAAACTTTTCCGGAGTATTAAAAACAGAAATCGGAGATGCCGTACTTTATAACAATTGGAGCTATAAAGGCACAATGGAAGTACATATAAAATCAGGAGTTGCACAGGGTTGGTTACGATCTTTCTAATTTCAGCTAAGATGGAGATATAAAGATATGCCTGAGAACATTTTTCGATAATGCTGTCGTCATCCAGGCCAGGGCCACAGACCTTGCTCAGCGTAGGCTTAGACAAGCTATGATCCCTACCAGAACAAAGGCAATATCACCAATGTCTTCAATTAGAGTTGGGAACCTTGGTGTTATCGATCACGCAACATATACCAGTAGAAATCGATATGCATGTGATCAGGGCATCAAAAATGTTGAAAGTATAGAGAATGGCGGTGCCAAAAGTGCGTTGAAAATATTTGAAACAAAAAATTCCCAATATGAGTCTCAGAACTTGCTCAAATAAAAAAGGAGAGACATTCGGCATTTGATTTGACAGACGTACGGTAGATGTATGACGATGCTCGTCCCATTTATTTAAGTTCCTAAATATCCTATGAGAATGATAAGGAGTTACCTGAGAGAAAGAGTACTCAAAGTCAACACAAGGGAATCACAGCTAACATCAGGAGTTGCACAGGGTTCAGGTTACGATATTTGAAACATCAGCTATGATGGAGTTCTAAATTTAGATATGCCTGACAATATTTTTCTTGTGGGAAACGTATACGACATTGCTTGTCGTCATCCAGGCCAGGATCACTGAAAATGTCCAGTGTAAGCATAGACAAGCTTTGATCTCTAAGACAAGGCCAATATCATGTCGTCAATTAGAGCACAGAAAAGTGTTGGTGTTATCGATTCCGCAAAATATCCTATTAGAAATCCGTACGCATGTGAGCAGGGCACCCTAATGTTGAAAATATAGAGAATGGGATGTTGAGCGTTACATCTGCATGCCGCACAGTTTCAGTAAATGCTCTTCCCATTTATAAGCAAAATTTTACAGATGCTTTCCGGACAATGGCATTTCAGCAAGTATTTGTTTGGCCATGGGGAATCCTATTCCCCGTTTTGCTTGCATGAAGAGAAACATTGCAGATGAAGAAAAAATACTCTCTTCTCAGGCGGTTGAAAGAAAATTATAGAATCAGAAGAAACTGGAATGTAATATCTAAATTCTGTGAGGTATTATTTCAAATTTCCTGATAATCATTTTTACCCATTATGGGGCACTAAAATGTGACATAGATTTCATTTAAAATTTCTGAATATTGAATTTGCGCCCCAATAAATGGCCAGGGGATTTTTTTTGCTTTGAAACTTAGTCAATTGCTTTGAAGCGCGTCAGTAGGTCTCGTAAAGTTGAGATAATAACATTCACCGAAAATCGTGACGATCATTTATTCTGCTAAGCCTATAATAAAATGAATAAAATATTTTAGACTTTGAGGAACCTGATAAGATATCATTTTTGATAACAGAAGCCAAAATTTTGGGAATATAGAAATAAAAAAAATTTGCTCACCACGTTCGTGGGGGCTTATCTGTAGAAGATAGTGCCTTTATATTCGCAATAATATGGGCTTTCTCCTTATCATAGGCACATACATATGTTTATATCAGATTCCATAGCATTACTCGGCAGATTTCTTATTTTGGTTGTTCCCCCGATGTCTTTGGGCAATTGGACGAGATTGAAATCCAGTGGTATCTAATTGAAGGATTATAACAATTTCCTTAAAATTATATGAAAAAAATATATCGGACATTAAGAACTTTTACCGAGAACTGAGTCATTCATTATCGCGACCACAAGATAATGATAGTAAATGTCTGAATAGAAAATAAAAGCAAAAACAACAAACTTTTCAATTAATCACTTATTGGAGAGGGCTTTGCGCGATACAAAAATACACACGCACACACACTTTCTCGATGATAAGAAATTAGATCCAAAGGCAAGAACTACGCTGAAGAAATGTTTATAAAAACGAAAATCTGAGAATTTTCACAAACAGTTGACTGTTTAGTTTCGAACGTGAGTGTTGTCAGCTGGTCGATATGAGATCGGCAGCATTGTTAGTGGTTTGCCTGCTGTGTGTAAACCTCATACAGGCACGAGTTTTTCCACAATGGTTTGGTCGACTAGATGAAATCCGTGATCGCCATCAGGGCGAAGAGAAACATTATGAGTCCCGCAACGAACAACGTTATCAAGGGGAGCGTAACAGTTCGGAAGAGCATCAGTATCATCATGACTATCAAGGTTATCATGGACACGAACATGGTCACGGGCATGGTCATGGTCACGGACATGGACCACCAGCATGGAACACAACCTGGTCTCCACCCACAAATTCCACACCATCTTGGAACACAACATGGACACCACCTGTAAACAATTCGACCTGGCGTCCACCATCTTGGAATACAACTTGGACACCACCTACCACTAATTCCACACCATCATGGAATAGTACCTGGTCTCCACCCACAAATTCCACACCATCATGGAACACAACCTGGACACCACCTGTAAATAACTCAACCTGGCGTCCACCATCTTGGAATACAACATGGACACCACCTACCACTAATTCCACACCATCTTGGAACAGTACCTGGTCCCCACCATCGTGGAATACTACATGGACTCCACCCACGACCAACTCGACACCTTCGTGGAATACCACCTGGTATCCTCCAGTAACCAACTCGACACCATCTTGGAATACCACTTGGTATCCTCCAGTAACCAATTCCACACCCTCCTGGAACACAACCTGGGCACCACCAGTTACTAATTCTACTTGGCGTCCCCCCTCATGGAATACCACATGGACTCCGCCTACGACAAATTCGACACCATCATGGAATTCTACCTGGACTCCGACTCCATCATGGAATACCACATGGACTCCACCGACGACTAATTCAACACCATCCTGGAATACCACCTGGTATCCCCCAGTTACCAATTCGACACCATCATGGAATACAACCTGGTATCCTCCTGTCACCAATTCGACACCATCGTGGAACACAACCTGGTATCCTCCAATCACCAACTCGACACCTTCGTGGAATACCACCTGGTATCCTCCAGTCACCAACTCGACACCATCGTGGAACACCACCTGGTATCCTCCAGTAACAAATTCCACACCATCGTGGAACACCACCTGGTATCCTCCAGTAACAAATTCCACACCTTCCTGGAACACAACGTGGGCACCACCAGTTACTAATTCTACTTGGCGTCCCCCCTCTTGGAATACCACATGGACACCGCCTACGACAAATTCGACACCATCATGGAATTCGACCTGGACTCCACCTGGCAATAATTCGACGCCATCATGGAATACCACTTGGACACCACCAACAACTAATTCCACACCTTCGTGGAATACCACCGGGATTCCGCCAGTGACAAACTCGACATGGGGCACGCCATCATGGAATACTACCCACACCACGCCCTCGTGGAACAGTACCCACACCACGCCCTCGTGGAATAGTACCCACACCACACCTTCGTGGAACAGTACTCACACCACGCCCTCATGGAATAGTACCCACACCACACCCTCGTGGAATAGTACCCACACCACGCCCTCGTGGAACAGTACCCTCACCTCACCCTCGTGGAACAGTACCTGGACAACACCGTCGTGGAACAACACCTGGAGTACCCCAGCTTGGTCCACACCCACATGGAATAACACCTGGACAACACCCAAATGGAATGGTACTTGGAGTTCCCCAATTTGGACAACACCGTCGTGGAACAACACCTGGAGTACCCCAGCTTGGTCCACACCCACATGGAATAACACCTGGACAACACCCAAATGGAATGGTACTTGGAGTTCCCCAATTTGGACAACACCCTCGTGGAATAGCACCTGGAGTTCGCCAACATGGACAACGCCTAAATGGAATAACACCTGGACCACCACAAGACCCCTGTAAATCTATTGAAAAAATTGTTAAAAAAAATGTATCAAAATTTCTAAAATGCTTCCAAAACACTTCTATATAACCAATAGTAGAAAATTTAACAGTTAACCCTCCAAAAACGCAATATTGTCACATGCAATTTTTCCTTCTCCTCTTTTTTCTCATTACTTTTTGATCTCAAATGTTGTCCTAATACAAATCTGGAATTATCTCAATTTATTCTCAAAATAAAACTTATTGTATTTAAAGAGGCTTATCTGTTAAATGAAAGTTACAAAAAATTACAAAAAACGAACGCCTTCAAAAATGGCTCGAAGTATTTCGGAATTTTGAAGTATTAGCCCCCTCCAAGACTTTTCGAAATTATTTTAAATCCCACGAAAACTGCAAATAAAAGTCAATATGTTATTTATTAAAGCAAACAAGTAAGCAAAGGCTACAGTCGAGCGGGGCCGACCGTTGAATACCCTACAACACTATAATAAACGATACATTTTATATAGACGAGATACTCGAAAGAATTCCACAAGATATTGTGACAAATAATAAAAGAAAACCATCAGGTTTCGTTCTCTAATTTTCGAATAATAATATTGGTAGATGTTGCACGTAAATGGTCTTCCTAGATCTGGAACATTTATTATTGGTTTTTGACTGAAACGCATCTATATGAGATACAGACATTTGACTATATTCTTCAATGAAATCAGGGTTTACGAAATAGTCAGAAGTGCGTCTTTCCTGGATTTGTGAATTCTCCAAAAAGTCACTGGAATTGACATTTTCGTATTTTGTCTACAAACGTTGGCAAACTATTTCACACATTGAATATTTTTGGATGGCCATCCAAAACTGCTTGGCCTTTTGCAATGCCCGTAACCCCCATTCAAATGTGCGTGAGGATCGGGCAATAATTACGACCTGCTGATAATTTTGCAGTTTTTTTGGTCCATTTCAACCCCTAAATATGTGGCGATCATCTCCAAGAAGAGTATGCTTCTATTCTGACCCTCATCTGATCCCCATGCAAAATTTCATAAGGATCGGGCCATAAATGCGATCTGTATATGATATGCTGATATCCTAACTACTTAGTTTTGTTAGCTGTAGAAATATTACCAAATGTTTAATTCAAAATGAAAATATGCCAAAAATATGACAAAATTGAAAAAAATTGAGAAAATTTTACGAAATCAATATTTTCATCTTTAGAGAGATATTTTTATGCGATTTTTTTAGACGTTTTATGTTTCCTGCCAAGAGGCCATTCTGAATTAATGAGAACTGTCGAAATCAGTTTAGCCGTTCTCGACATATAAGAGATCTTTCAAGCATATCTTCTTTGATAGACATATATATCGCACATATTTTGCTATATATCCGTTTTGTTGGATGTTAACATCAATGTAAAGATCAGAAGTAACCTTGTCATGGCTTTGTGATTTCGCCGGGATTTAAAACATTCGCGGTTTAATGAAAAATTTTGAATTTTTTCAACAAAAAAAATATGGTCTATTTTACCCGCTAAATATTATCCGATGACCACCCAAATTGGTAGGCTTCTTCCCCTCCCTAAACTACAGCTACATGCGAAATTCCGCGTCGATTGGTCTATAATTGCGACCTGTATAGCTTCTGCAAAATCCGACATTTTTCAGTTTTTGGTCCATTTCGACCCCTAAATATTATGCGATCATCTCCAAAAGAAATAGGGTTCTATTCTGTCCCTAGCCCCACCTCCATTCTAAATTTCGTGAAGATCGGGCCATAATTGCGACCTGTAGAGTGATTACAAATTAACATGGACAGACGGACAGACGGACGGACGGACATACATAGCTAGATCGACTCAGCTCGGCGAGCTAGGAAGATCCATATATACTTTCCTATGTGGGAAATCAATATTTCGAGGTGTTACATAATTTTTGGCCCAATCAAACTTATAATACCCCCAACACATAGTGTTGTAGGGTATAAAAATATAGTTGTTTTTATCAAAACCATTAGGGTGGCGTGTTTCGAAAATGAAAAAAATATTAAACAAAAAAATAAAATAAATAATTAAATAACAATCAATCATCATTGGCTTAGGCCAAATATCATGGGAGACCAGCTAAGTCCCCCCAGAAAATAGAATTACTTTTCAACCTTTCACAATTTGTCTGTTTTGTTTTTTCTCCTTTTGTATTCATAATTGGCACAATAGACCCCCCAAGTGTGTCTCCTGATACCGAAATTGTAGTTGTTGTCATGCCCATTTTTAACAATATCTCCAGAAATGTTCACTTTTCATTGGAAATCACTTGAGATTGTAATTGGTAGCTGATAGTGCGTTGATTATTTTCGAATTAATCGTCGTATGTGTGGTTCGTTAAATGAGAAAAACAACAGCAAAAACAACAACAACAAATGGTAAGACTCAATTATGATTTTTTATACCCTCAGCCATATGGCTAGAGAGGGTATATATCATTTAATACGGTCAAAACGTGCCTAGTCGAAATTACGGTTTTAGACCTTAGGTCTCTTTGGACCAAATCCGTTTCAGAACATTTGGAGTCGATCTAGCAATGTCCATCATTCCGTTTGTCTGTCTGGCTGGTGCGTACGATAACTCTCGAAGGAATATCCGATTTGATCCAAAGTTGCTACATCGTAATATTATTGTCAAACTTAGATCGAGTTCGTAGATGGGCAATATCAGTCCACTCCTTCTAGTACCTCCCTCACAAAAGGTCGATATTTTCAAAAAAAAAAAAAAAATATATATATATATATTTTAGTGCACAGAAAGAGAAGAAATAACACGATTTTGCTCCAACTGTGCAAATCTCAATATTTGCATCAGTTCTAGGTCAAGTGCGAAAATGGACAATATCCGTCCACTCCATCAATTACCTCTCATTACCACAATAGGTCAAAATTTTGAATAATTATAACTCTTATAGAATGTGATATAGGAGTCCAATTTTTTCAAATTAAACACATCACAGTATTTTGATTAACCCAAGGTCTGGTGTGACGATGGAATATATCGGTCCACTCCTTCTGGTACCTACCTCACAAGAGGTGGACATTTTCTAAAAATTTATTTTATGCAAAGAAAGATAAACTATAACCCCATTAATATCCCAATATCGGCCCATTTCTTCTTGTACCTCCCCCACAAAGGGTCAACATTTGGAATAATTACAACTCTTATAAAATGTGATATAAGAATCTGATTGTGTTAAAATTTCACACATCCCAACAATCTTGTTGACCCAAGGTCTGGTGTTAAGATGGAATATATCGGACAACTACTTCTGGTACCTCCCGCACAAAAATTCGAAATTTTCAAAAAAAAAAAAGAATCTGCACAGAAAGAGAAGTAATAATCCGATTTTGCTCTTACTTTGCAAATATTATTATTTGCCTCAGTTCTCGGTTAAGTGCAAAAAATGGATAATATCGGTCCACTCTATCAAGTACCTCCCCCACAAAGGGTCAACATTTTGAATAATTATAACTCTTATAGAATGTACCATAAGAGTTCGATTTTCTTCAAACACACACACACATCACAATATTTTTATTAATCTTTGGTCGGGTGTGAATATAGAATATATCGCTTAACTCCTTTTGGTACCTCCCCCACAAGAGGTCGAAATTTTGAATATTCATGAAGCTCATAAAACGCAAAATTAGTATCCTATTATATTCAGACTTGGTACGTCTCAGTATTTTCATCAAATCAAGATTTTTTAAAAAGATCGTGAAGATCGGACCATTCCTTCTAGTACCTCCCCCACAAAGGGTTAACATTTTGAATAACCAAAACGATAACAAAATATGAAATAAGCATCCAGTTTTCTTCAAATTACATATATCACAATATTTTTCTTAGCCCAAGGTCTGGTGTGAAGACGGACGGACGGAAATCGCTAGATCGACTCCAAATGTCCTCAAACGGATTTGGTCCAAAGAGATCTACAGTTATTTCGATGAAGCACGTTTTGGCCGTATCAAATGATATATACCATCTCTAGCCATATGACTGAGGGTATAACAATTTTGTTATCGGCAAATTTAGCACCTTTTCCGAATTCTCTGCAAATCTGGCGGGCAGGAAATTCCAAGTGGGTACGAAAGCATTCGGGGTGAAAGCTATGCGAACTTGGTTGCATAATGTGAAGAGATCATTGATTAATTTATGTAAAGCTGAAAAGGATTTCAATTCCAAAATATTTTAAAATACATGGAATGGGCGAAACCGTTATGTACAAATTGGAACCACAAACACACGCCAATCGGAACCAAAAATTTTAAATAATATTCAATTACATTGGAAAATAGGGTAAAAACTTTTAAAATGCCTAAAATGGGGGAAGCATGAGACTATACTAAAAATTGGACGATTACGATTTTTTTGGGCGGGATTGACATATTTACTAGGAATGCAAATACCTTGCCAAATACCAATGTGAGGAAAAAACTTCAGAATATCTTAAATTAGAGGTTAAAATAATTTTCATGATAGAATTAGAAAATGATGTATGGGACCTTTTAGTATGCCTAAAAGTATGCTATGCTATGGTGTTTTTTGGTTAGGCTGATACAAATTGGTGTTATTTTACTTTTATCAATAAAATATGTAATGTAGAACTTTACGTATATATGAACATGAATACATGAATTTAATAAGTTGCAATCGAGGTTCCCATTGGTGGGGCTAGAGATAATATTTTTCGAAGTTAATTCTTTGTGAGCAAATGGTAAATCTGAAAATAAAATATTTAAACAGTTATCTCTTGGAATCTGCCAGAAAAATGAATTGCAAAGTGGAAGTTAACAATTAAATAAGAATAATACTTTTACCCATTAAAAAATCTGGTTTGATAAAAATGCAGATACTTATACAATAAAATAACTCTATGGCACATTTTAGTAACTCTTAAATATGAAATGCTGACTTCGCCAATGATCCCTTCGACAAATATCAAAATTGTAACATTTTGTATTATTTAGTACTCTAAGTATAAATATTAA